CGGGCCGGGGCGGGGCGCTGCAGCCCGCGGAGCCTCCCGCCCGCGCGGGCTGGGGTCGCTCCGGGTCGGACTCCCCTCCTCGCCCGACGCGGCCATGGAGGACGAGCGGAAGGACGGAGCCTACGGTAGGAGCCGCCTCTGGCCCGCGACCGCCTCTGCTGAGTTGGGGGGCTTTGGGGGAGGGGGACATCGGAGATCTCAAACACCCGCGCTGCAGCTGGGGGCCCCCCTCCGGCTTCTCGGCCCAGCATTCCTCTCTGCGCCGACCCCACGCCCCCCTGCTCCCGCCGGGTCGCCCTGCGTCCCCTCTCCCGGGAGCCCCCGCACCCCCTCCGGCTGATGGGCCAGGACGCACGGCGCATGCTCCACCCGGGGAGGTCCCGTTATCTGGGCGGCTCAGATGCCAGGCGGGGGAGGGGAGGCTTGGCGACCGGGGCTCGGAAAAGGGACAGGGCCCTGACTTCCCCAAATCCCCCTCCTCTTCTGGTCGCCTTAGTCCGCTTCTTTCTGCTGCCCACACCCCCCTGGAAGTAGCCATCTCGGGCTTCTGGCCAGATGGGGAAACTGAGGCAAGCCTGGGCAGACCGAATGCTGGGGTGGAAGGCCATCGGTTCTTGCTAGCGGCCTGGAAGGACAGAAAGAAGGGCGCCCTCGGTGAGGTCGCTGTAAGGAAGAGGAAACCATTGAGAAACTTTCCTGGCCGTGTACAAGGGGCTGGGGGGTGCCCGCTACCGTTTCGCAAAGTCCCTGCGACGCGGACCCCCCCTCCCGGGGTGGGTGGCCTTCGCCTCCGGGCCCTGAGGTTGGGGCCAAAATGAGGCCCCTCCCTACCCACGCCCTGCAGTGCCGCCTTTCCCAGGGTTCCCACGGAGGGGGGTTGCCATCCTCAGTTTCTCCTTTCTCTTCTCCATTTTGGGTCCCAGGGCTGAGCTGGGCACATGTCCCACGCAGCTCTCCCCTGGGGCAAAGGGGCGCTGCTGCCCCTCCTTGTGTGACAGGAACTTCCTGGAAACTGTGAGACAGAGGCTTTGGGGAGGGGGCAGGAAACCACTCAAAATAATCAAGAAAAACAAGATGACTGGAGACGTACCTCCCTCCCCACTGCCTCCACAGTGGCCTCAGCAGGTTGTAGAGACAAACAGATGGGGGAGGCTGGGACCCTCCCTGCCCAGCCCAGCCAAGAGGGAAACACAGGGACCTGGCCACCACCCAGCCACTCCCCTCCCTGCCAGCCAATGTCCTGAGGGGCCTCCTTGCTCTTGGGTTTGGCTCAAACCCCAGACCCTGTATCTGTGGGTGCTGTGCGTCCCTTGGGTGTGGCTGGCTGTCTCTGAACTGGGAATCTCAGATTGGAGCCCTGGTCAGGCCCTGCCTGCCTGTGGGCAGCACCTGAGGGACCTTTGATGTCTTTAAGGAGCTGGGGTGGGGGATGGCAGTCAGAGTGGACAAGGATGTGATTCATCAAGCCTTGAATTTGGCCAAAGGGAACCAGCCATAGATGGGCCTGAGCAAACCTCCCAGGCCCTGCCAGACCCACACTCCAGACAGGGGACCTCTATGCCCAACAGAGGTTACGCTGGGCGCCGGGAGCCCATTCCATCAACAAGTATTTTTTGAGCATCTTACAGGCACGGTCTAGACACTGAGAACACAGCAGTGAACAAAGCAGAAAAATTCTTGAATAAATGTATGATTTTAGGTTGTTGTTAAGTGTTGTGGAGCAGAGAACAGGACAGCATGTGTGTGGGAGAATCATCTAGGATTATTTTAGGTGACCCAGGGCTGGAGTTTGAGCCAATAGCCATGGGAAGATTTGGGAGAAGTGTGTTCTAGGCAGAAGGAACAGCAAATAAACCAGCCAGTTGCTTAATTATTTTTCTCTATGACGCCCAAGGAAGCCTGAGGTGGAGACTGCAGCTATGTCTTGCAAGCCAGGCCATCACCTCCTCCAGGGCCCCCCCCTTGACTCCTTGAAGTGGGGGATCTCACGTAGTTTGTAAATAATAGTTCATTCTCATCAGAACCAAAAACCTGGAGCCCTCAGGCTGCCCCATGAAGTCACTGCCAGGAAATGAGGGGCTTTCCTTTGGGAACAGTGTCGCAAGGGTTGCTCACAGATCCCAGTGCTCACAGGGGCACGCCTGGGTGGCTCAGTGGGTTAAGCGTCCAACTTCGGCTCAGGTCATGATCTCACGGTTTATGGGTTCGAGCCCTGCATCAGAGCTCTGTGCCGTCCACTCGGAGCCTGGAGCCTCCTTCGGATTCTCTGTCTCTGTCTGTCTCTGTCGCTCTCTGCCCCTCCCCCACTTGCACGCTGTCCGTCTCTCTCTCAAAAATAAATAAACATTAAAGAACATTAAAAAACCATATCCCAGCCCTCACACAGCCCTTGTATCCCAATGCCTTCCCATCCATCAGCTTTCATGACCTCAGGGGGTGAAGTCAGACAGACTCAGGTTCAAATCCTGATTCTGACACTTAGGAGCTGTGTCACCATGGGAGAGTTGGCAACCTCTCTGAGACTCTATCCTTGTCTGCAGGTCTAGGCAGACCATACTCACTGCTGGGCAGCATTTTGCACAGTGGCTGGTAGGCTCTCTACATGCCAAGAGGCCTCTGGGGCCCATAATGTCGGAGGCATGGATTTTCCAGAGCTGATGGAAAAGCAGCCCTCTCTGTCTAGGCATAGACTTGGCGGGACTGGGCAGGGCAGGAAGCTCCCTCCTCTGCAGACACCATATTTAGATGATATGGGGAAACTGGGAAATGGCTCCTGGCCCTGACGGATGACATCAATGGGTACTGCCATCCTTCCCACCCACCCAGGCATGAGCATGGAAAAAGATTCTAGAACTTAAAACAATACACTCTGATAGGGGGCGGGGGGAAGGTGGAAAAAAAGTAATGGTGCTTGTGTAAAAAGCAGATTCCAGGGGCACCTGGGTGACTCAGTCAGTTAAGCATCTGACTTCGGCTCAGGTCATGATCTCATGGTTCAAGAGTTCCAGCCCCGCGTTGGGCTCTCTGCTGTCAGTGCGGAGCCTGCTTCAGATCCATTCTCTCTCTCTCTCTCTGCCCCTCCCCCATTCTCTCTCTCTCTAAAATAAATAAACATTTAAAAAAACAACAACAGATTCCCTGGCCCCATTTGCTAGAGTCCAACTCAGCTGACAGCAAGGATCTGGCATTTGATTTTTAAAATATATTGTTGGGAGGGGTGCCTGGATGGCTCAGTCGGTTGAGCGTCCGACTTCAGCTCAGGTCATGATCTCATGGTTTGTGAGTTCAAGCCCCGCGTCAGTCTCTGTACTGACGGCTCAGAGCCTGGAGCCTGTTTCGGATTCTGTGCCTCCCTCTCTCTCTGCCCCTCCCCTGCTCATGCTCTGTCTCTCTCTCTCTCTCTCTCTGTCAAAAATAAATAAACATTAAAATATATTGTTGGGAGAGGACATTTGCTTGTTCATTGAACGTTTATTTTTTTCCAAAAGGGGTGATACATTCACATGCTTCAAAATCCAAAAGATACAAAGACTGTGTGGCTTTATCATGAAGGGTCTCCCGTGCGCTCTGTCTCTCAGCATGACACAACCTTCTTGGCAAAGTGCGTCAATGTTCCAGCATCTAGTGCTTTGTTCCAAATGGAGTCTAGGCCTTAGAACCTCGCATGCAATTATATACATATTCCTTACCTAGTGGCTGTTTTTTCCCCCTTTTGCAAAAATGTCAGCAAATCCCTAGTGTGCGAACTCTGAGGCAAGATTGTGTGTGTTCAGTTTGAAGGTGGATCCGCAGTGCCTGGCACATAGTAGGTACTCAACAGCTATTTACCGAATGAAAGGGTGTTTGTTTCACCTGTTGCTTCTTTTTTTTTTTTTTTTCAAAGTTTATTTATTTTGAGAGAGAATGTGCGACGGCAAGCAGGGGAGTGGCAGAAGGAGAGGGAGAGGGAGAATCCCAAGCGGGCTCCGCACAGTCAGTGCAGAGCCCAATAATGGGCTCAAACACACCAGCTGTGAGATCATGACTTGAGCCAAAACCAAGAGTTGGGAAGTCCACCGACTGAGCCACTCAGGGGCCCCTCACATGTTGCTTTTTGTTTGTTTGTTTGTCGCTTTTTGTTTCTTTGTGTAATGTATCTTGGAGACATCGCTCATGTCCGTGCCTGGAAAGCTTCCTCGGTGTTTTTCTGACAGTTGCATAAAGTAATGTATGTGTGGATGGAATAGTTTATATTTACCCAATCTTATATTTAACCAATCAAGAGGAATATTAAAAAAAAATTTTTTTTAACGTTTATTTTTGAGGGAGAGAGAGACACACACAGAGTGTGAGCGGTAGAGAGTCAGAGAGGGAGGGAGACACAGAATCTGAAGCAGGCTCCAGGCTCCGAACTATCAGCACAGAGCCCGATGCGGGACTCGAACTCATGAATGGTGAGATCAGACCCAAGCCGAAGTCGGAAGCTTAACCGACTGAGCCACCCAGGCGTCCCTCCGGAAGAATATTTGAGACTTTGTATTGAAGCAGACAGTTCATACGTAAAAGGAAACAAATCCTAAATGCATCAGGCTCCAGAAGTTTTCACATGGTGAACACACCCATGGAATCAGTGCCCAGATCTGGAGGGAAAAAAAAAAAAATTCCCAGCACCCCACAAGCCCCTCATGCCTAAGGAGGGCCAATCCGTATTATTATTTTAATCTTTTGTGGTAAAAAAAAAAAAAAAAAGAAAAGAAAAAACATTAAAAAAACCTAAAATTTACCATCTTACTCATTTTTATTTGTATGTTTCAATAGTGTTAAGTATATTCACATTGTTGTGCTGTGGCCTGTTTTTGTAAGGCCAATGGACTAAGAATGGCTCCATTGTTTGTAAATTGTTGTTAAAAAAAAAAAAAAAAAGGAGCGCCTCTGTAGCTCAGTCAGTTGGGCCTCGGACTCTTGATTTCCGCTCAGGTCACAAATCTCAGTGAGATAGATCCCTGCGTCCAATTCCTGCCTCATGATGACAGCACAGAGCCTATTCAGGATCCATCCTCTCTCTCTCTCTCTAAAATAATAAATAAATAAATTTAAATTAAAAAATAAAAAGGAATATGCGACAGACATGATATGTGAAACCCAAACCTTCAAATCTTAACTATCTCCCCTTTAACAGAAGAAAATTTGCACATCTCCAGTAAGGACATTCCCATTACCCCAGAAAGTTCTCTTATGCTCCGTCCCAGTCAATCCCCAAAGGGAAAGTTGTTTTTAAATAGGATTTAATTTTTTTTTTAACATTTATTTATTTTTGAGAGACAGAGAGACAGAGCACGAGAGGGGGAGGAACAGAAAGAAAGAGAGACACGGAACCTAAGCAGGCTCCAGGCTCCGAGCGGTCAGCACAGAGCCTGACACGGGGCTTGAACTCACCGACTGCGGGATCATGACCTGAGCCGAAGTCGGACACTTAGCCGAGTGAGCCGCCCAGGCGCCCCCCTCATTTTAAATAGGATTTTAGTCTCTTACATAATAAAATAAATATATTCTCATGGGGGCAGAGGGGAGGGGCTAAATAAAAATAAGCCCTCAACCACACAGAATATTTTAGTCTTCCTAGTGAAAGAGCCCTTTACATACCCTCGACTAATTGCCCTCATCGCAGAGGTAGCAGAAGCTTTTGCACAAGCTTAGCCTGTTTCTGTGTGTGTATGTGGCATCTTTACGGTATTTTTTTAAGGCTCCTCTGGCCGGCTTAATGAAAAATGGTCCTGTTCCCAGGGTGAGATACTATGTTGTCCTGTAAACAGCTGAAGTAGATCTAACCTCCTTATGTTAGCATGTGAAATAGCAAAGTAGGAAAGAATATGTGTAGCAAAACAGGGCGTGGGGGGATAAACAGCTACAAATTTGCTTCTGCATGTGTACTTAGACTGTCTGGAAGGAGGAAAGGGAAACCAGGGAGAGGAAGTTTGGGCTCTGGGCCAAGGGTGAGAGGGAGAGTGATTCTTCTCAGTCTGAAGGGTTG